CAATTGCAAGAGCAAAGGCAGACGGATTTGTGAGGGAATTTTCAGATTTGCCTTTTTTTCTGGCTATGTTCATCAGGCAATTGCACTATGTATACAGAATATCCTGCTTTGTTTAATCACTCTTACCTGTATGGATTTGCTAAATATTTTCTAGTGGTATCCGGAGACCTTTGTCAGTGGTATCTGCTATGCTCTATTTAGATGTATGTGATATGAACTTTCAAACCAAGAACTTGTTAAAACTTCTGTAAAAAAACAGAGAGCCTCTAATGTTTGTACTCTGGGTTCCTGGATGGAAATGTGCAGGGATGACATGGTTTGTAACTTCACCTGGATGCTGCAGTCCACTTTACTCTACAGCACTTGCCCTGTTAGCAGCTGACAACCCTACACATCAACATGAAATCTGCTGGGATGTTTCCAACAGGTTTGATTTATAACAGCTATTTTGTTACATCATTTTGTTTGTCTTTTGGCCTGGTAACTGCAGCATTTTCTTGTTAAAGTTTGCAGGGACATTTTTTTTTGTGAGCAAACATACCACAGGCTTCCAAAATAACTCAGGCAAGTTTTCCTAACCCTACTAAAAATATGGAACCACCAAACCACTCCACAGGTTTCTTAGGGGTAGACAGCTAGCCTGCTGGGGTGTTCCCCTATTATTTACTTGATCATATTGCTTCTGTTCTATTATTCCCCACACATCTCTTCAGCACTGCCTAGGCCCACTGACTAACTGGTCCTGAGGAGGGAAGAGAGGGAATATGCCACTTCAGATAAAAAGTTATGGTAAATGTCAGGCTTCACTGTTTTCAGATGAAATATTTACCATCATTGCTTAAGCTGGAAAACAATTTTTTTAAAGCTAGTGACTATCCATAAATTATTGAATGGTTTAGAATATGTAAACCTTGAGACACTTGTACTTTATAACACTCCAGGGCGCTTTAAACATAGCAAATAACCCAGGAACAGCATTGGAACAAATTGCATTTTTTAACTACACATGATCTACAATATTCTTGTTTAGTAAGGGGCAGTATGCAGCTCTTACTGTGAATAGCGGGCAGCCTCTAATAAAGCCACTTTGCAAATGCTTCACCATGAGGATGTTATCAAGGTGCCTGCTACTTTTTAGGCACAGGTGATATTTTAAATGTGTGCTAATAAGGGCTACTAACCACTATTTGTGCTATTCCTTGTGGCACCATACCTTCACTGCTTGCAAAGTTCATTCCAACTGCCCCAGTTACATTCTAAAGAATGGCTTAATTTATTGCTGTCTTTCCACCCTCAAAAACGAATGAGGCAGGCTCACTGTGTACCTAACTACTGTCACTAAAACACCTGCTTACAAACCTGACAAGAAACTATTCCTTCGCAGCGACAGAGACACTTCTTGCTGCTGAAGTCTCTGTCCTGCTCCCTTTGCCAGGACTATGTGCTGCTTTGTTACATTGCACTGGGAACCTGAAGTTTTTGGGGAATCTTGCTCTGACCTAAAGGGAAGGTTGCCATCCATTTTCTTATATGGGATTTTTTAACAAAAGTGATTAAGAATCCAGAAGTAGGAATAACATCATAAATTTCATGACCTTTCATTTGTCACTGTCTTTCTAAATGTTCAGCTACAAAGTTGACAGATGCAGGGTTAGCTTGCAATACTTGCCAAACATAAACAGGAGGCTACAGAATTGACTAAAATATTGGCTGTTTGGCTTAAATCAGCTTAGCAAGGGAGAGGAGTTCCTCTCTCACAGAAATTGCTGAGCACCCATTCTCTGAAAAAAATGAGCTCTCTCCCTGCTTCTCTCCCTCACCATCCCCTGCCCCCCCAATGCACGCACTCCTGTAATGTCTTCAGTAAGTGCCATACCCAGGGTGCTCATTCATGGAAACTCCCTTGTGATCTGTGGAACAAGGAATGCTGCTGAAACAACACTCTCCAGCACCTACCTAATACTGTCCTCTCTCATGTCCTATGTGGCTTCTCCATGTTAACAGGGGCTCGTAACAACCTCTTCCCAGATAACTGTCGTGGCTGCTGCCCATTTCGTGCTTTAGGCCATCCATTTCCTCCACAAGGCTTTGATCCTGTACTATTACTCAAAAGAAATTCTGACACCAATTTTGGTAAGCATAGGATCAGGTGGTAAAACGCCTTTGCTACCCTCCATTTTCCTCAGCACATCATGTTTCCAACTTGATTCCACCATCTCCAAAACTCATCACAAATTGGCCCCTCTTATTACTGCTGTTTTATTGCATCTCCCCGCCCCCCCACCCCCAATCAATAGCAGC